CGGGCCTTGAAGCTTGCCACTGGGCTAACTGTATGGAGCCCCAGTCCAGTCAGAAACGTCAAACATCAGATCAGCTCCCTCGAACGCTGTCGAGCGAGTTCCCTGAAAAAAGGACAATCGAGCGGAGCGCCACGGCGCCGCCGCCCCTTCTCCCGTGTCTCTGCCCCCCACCCCCCGGGACATCCGACAGGCGCAGGCGCAGTGCACGACTCGGCCATCCCGCAGTTGCAGGTACAGTGCACGACCCAGCTATCCCGCTGCCGGACTGCCATGCCGCGCGCCGGCGCTGTGACGACCCGGCCATCCCGCAGTTGCGCTCGCCTAGCCAGTCGTTATCAGGAAGCACGGCGGCGCCCAAATCCGGCAGACACGACCGCACACGCCGGCAGGTGGCACACTCCACACCTCCACGGCTCCGACGCGCTGGCGCAGGAGATACATGTGAAGCCTGGAGCCTACCGTGGGTTGTGGAGTCCTCTAGAAGGGCGACTCGTTTTCAGGTTTGGCGGGAACTACTTGGGTGGCGAATCCAAGTGACAGAGGCCGTTCGATTTGATTGAGTTGACGGCTACAGATGAATCTACTCTGGAAGTTACGGGTAAAAGAAGAGAGAAGAAGGTAGATTCAAAATATTCAAAAAAATGTGTACTATAGTAGTAGAGATATGTGTCAGCTTCAGTTTGTGTGTAGGCTATCCATTTTATGATTCCTCTTTGGCGCCCGTATAATTCTTCAATCATTCATATTTGTTGTCTTACTCGTGCTGCAAAAAGTAGTACTACTTGTGAAGGCATGAACAGTGCAATTCCTACCAGTACAGGCAGATGTTTATCGAAAGCGTCATTCTATTCCTGAGCTCAAATGCTCTTGATATAAACATAAAAAATAGAAACATTTTTTTGTCAGTAAACATTGCTTAGTTTTCTTACCGCGTTTGAATTTTTGTGGTGAAATGGCATTCATGGATGGATCAGGAAAAAGAATCAGTGCTACAAAATGCTTTCAGAAATAGTCGTTGATTTCGTTTTTTTTGCCCAGGCCTCCACGATGTCATACCATCATGGAAGTTACACGCAGATGAAACACATAATGTTTCTCGCAAAAAAATCAGTTTTTCTTTGAATTATTCTACTATTATATTAAATGATACTGTTCATCCGAGTGAATGTGCACCTGTGAGCAGAAACTCCAAGCCCGATGTTTATCTGAAAATGCGAAATAGACCCATACATGGAGGGAGCCTATTATTTTCCCAAAAGGTAGAAACAACATTTTAAAAGCTAAAAAAAAGAAGCTGATTTCCGCTTTGCACTGGCTAAACAAAATATGCTATTATGGCTTGTTGGACTTGCAAGTTGGCTATTTTTTTAAATAATACATTTTTTAATTAATTTGCATAAATATTATGCCGATATTTTTATTTTTAAAAATAATACACCATCAGCCTGTTGCAGGCTGACTGGGCCTAGTCGGCCCACCGCAGGCCGATTGGCTTCCAGTCGGCCCGCAGCAAGCCGACTGGGACTAATTGGCTTGCTGCGAACCAATTAGTCCCAGTCGGCTTGCTGCGGGCCAACTGGAAGCCAATCAACCTGTGGTGGGCCGACTAGGTGCACGTGGTCATTTTTCTTTTTCTGTTTTTGGTTTTAGTTGTTGTTTCCTATTTATTCTAGCCCTCAAATGAATCTTGTTTGTGTTGAATTTTTTTGCATAAATTAATAGCAATATTAACATGCCACATATAAATTTTCATAATTTTTGGAAAACCACATAATTACATTTGTATTTGATAGCTCCTGGTGAATATAGATAGGGTTTAAATTTATTTATCCAAATTGATTTTTTTTATTTTTATAAATGTTAAAATATCGAGGAGAATGGTTTAAATTTTTTTGTGAATTTGTTTTAGGAATTTTTTTTGGCTTATGAAACAATTTGAAACAATTTGAAACAATTTTTGAGAAACTATTTGAGGAAAATTCTCAAATTGTTTCATAAGCCAAAAAAGTATTCTCAAATTGTTTCATAAGCCAAAAAATATTTTTCCTCAAATTGTTTCACAAAAATTGTTTCACAAAAATTGTTTCAAATTGTTTCATAAGCCAAAAAAGTATTCTCAAATTGTTTCATAGAAAATTTTACACTATTCTCCTCGATATTTTAACATCTATAAAAATAAAAAAAAGCAATTTGGATAGATAAATTTAAACCCTATCTATATTCACTAGGAGCTATCAAATGCAATTGTAAATATGTGGTTTTCCAAAAATTATGAAAATTTATATGTGGCTTGTTAATATTGCTATTAATTTATGGAAAAAGTGTCAACACAAACCAGGTTCATTTGATAGCTAGAATAAATAGAAAACAACAACTAAAACCAAAAACAGAAAAAAAAATGGCCACATGCACCTAGTCGGCCCACCACAGGCTGATTGACTTCTACTCCCTCCGTCCATGAATAAGTGTACATCTAGCTTTTGTCTTAAGTCAAAGATTATAATTTTTGACCAACTTTATAGAAAAGAGTAGTAATATATATATGACATCAAATTGATATATTATGGAAGTACATTTCAAAACGAATCTAGCCATACTAATTTAGTGTCATAAGTGCTGCTACGTTTTCCTATAAAGTTGGTCAAAGTTTTAAGACTTTGACTTAGGACAAAACTTAGATGTACACCTATTCACGGACGGAGAGAATAGTTGGCCTGCAGCAAGCCGACTGGGACTAATTGGTTCGCAGCAAGCCAATTAGTCCCAGTCGGCTTGCTGCGGGCTGACTGGAAGCCAATCGGCCTGCGGTGGGCCAACTAGGATGCAGTGTATTATTTTGAAAATAAAAATATCGGCGTAATATTTATGCAAATTAATTAAAAAATGTATTATTTAAAAAAAATTAGCTGCAAGTTGGCCCCTTAATATAAAGACACAGCAGGTAGCCGAAATAGGACTAAATTGCTAAAAACCAGAACAATTGCGGTCTGTTTTTCAAAGAACACCACCCAACTAATAGGACACAAAATCTGACATGGATCCGACTGTTAAGTGATGGAGTGGCATGGGGAAACTCACATTGTTCGACTCAATTATTAGGCTGGCGTAGGGCCCACATGTCATCATCTCTCTCCCACACCTTCTCCACATGCAGCACAGAGCGAAGGGCTACACCATCGCGTTCTTCTTCTCCACTTATGTTGCTTCTCCAATTCGGCACATATGTGCTTGTAAGAGCAACTTTAACAGAGTTGCCATATACTATGTGGTTGCCATATGGTATATGGAGGGCTCTTCATATGTATATGAAGGCCGTGGTGGCTGTGCGGAAACATAGGTTCGCCAAAAGGACAACCTTCATATTGTCTTATATGTGGATCTCACTTGTCATTTACTACAACAGTTCTTCCCCCAAAATCCAAAATTAAAAAAACATTTGATTCAGAGTTTACTCCGACTTCATTCTTAATATTTTTGGACAAAAATTGGGTTATAGTTCGACTTACATTGATAGACCATGATTAGTTTAACTATAAACTAATAATTAGATAATAGTTTCGGCCACGTCCTTCGCCACAGGCACGTCCATCGCCTCTGCGGGCGTAGAATGCGGCAATACGGGCCTCGATGGCTCAAAAATGCGCCTTGGCGAGGTTGTCCCAGGTCGGCCATTCATCTACGTCGGCAAAGGCAAGGGTGGGCGCGGGCTCAAATCTACTGCTCCATTCGTGTGTCCATCTGTGCACCCACCTCCAAGGCTACGTTCATCTGGTCCTTTAAGGGGTCCACCCGTCGACTTCTTCACCTTCATCTCATCCCCAAAACTGAAGACGAGGGGGAACTTCTGCCAGTGCACCAATATAGCTGAAGTGGTGGATTGGAGGCGGGTAGAGGCGTTGGATAGGGCAACATATAAGAGAGAGTGGAAGGCGCCGACCTTTTATAGGGCGACTCGGGCGCCATAAAGAGGGCAGTTGGGGAGGCGGCAGGCAGCTGATGAAGAGTGGTGAAGGGGCTCATCTCGCAATGAAAATGTTGTCACGTCATGTTCACACGCGCTCCCGACTGCTCAAACGGCTCCTCGGTCTGCTCACGTGCAAGCCAAGAGATGATGCCACATGGCACCATCTTACGGGCTCCCACGGGAATCCGATGGAGCGGTCGTGTCATTAATGGCCGGGTGCCCGTCGTCGATGATGCGTTGGAGGTTGGGTTGATTCAAATCTCGCATGTGGCGCATAAGAAGAAGAAACTTCCCGCGTGCAGTTGGATTTGGAGCGAGCTCCAAACTTGGTCTTCACAGTCTTCAAACATATGGAGGCTATGAGCTCGGTTGTGGAGCGAGCTCCTTAAATTATATCGACTGAGAGACATATAACGACTTTGCTAAAGTGCTATGCTATTTCGGATCAAAATCGTTATACTAGCAGTTATTATGCCGACTGAAGCCATATGACAGTTGCTCTAAGCCTACTTTCAATGCATTGGTACTTACATGAGGTGCTAAGCATATTAAAAACTTTAGCAACTAAAACCCCTAATGCGTAGATGCTTAACTTGTTGGTGCTAAAGCATCCTTTATTTAATGGTTTTGCAACTAAAATTCTTCATGCATTGGTGAGATTCTTTCATTTAAGTGTTTTGCCTAGGTTCTCGCGCTTAGTATTGTTTCTTTTTAGGGTCACCACCCTCATCTCTTTTCTGTTAATTACCTTGCCATATCAGACTTTTTAACTAGGTGGCAGCCTTAGCAGCCGTAGACCTAATGACTTGAAATCAGTACATCATAGCTATTGTCATTCCTATGAGTAATATACCGAAAGATATATCCAGAGAGGCCTAACAACAAGGCACTCAGCAGATGAACAAGGTACAAGATTCTACTACTATTCTCTACTCTAAAATGGGGAAAAGACAAAAACCACGAAGGTGCATGACACGATCCCAAAACTGATGACTTCTCAGCTAGTTCAAGGGCGGTACTGTCGCCGGCCGCGTCTCTATGCCACGGGCAGCTCAAGCAGCAGGCCGATGTGGCGGGACTCGGCGCTCGAGCTGCTGGCGCCGAAGCGTGCCCCTGCCGGCGGCGACCTCGCCACCACGCGCGGGGTGACCTGCTGGAACCCCAGCGTCAGCTCCAGCCCGATTTCGTCGTCATGTGCCTCCTCGTCCTGGGCCACCGGCGGCACGGGGCTGCGCTCTGCTTGGCTCACGTGCGAGCCCGCGTCAACGTCGGTGCCCTCGGACGACTCTTCTTCCCTCGCCTGCTCGACTGCCATGCCGTCGTCTTCAACGTGGCTGCCGTGGTCGTGGCTGCCGGCGGACTCCTCGTGGCTCGGCGCTTGGTCGAGCCCACCGTCGTGCTTGGCGCCGGAGAAGCTCTTGGACTTGGGCTTGGCCGTGGAGGAGGACGCGCGCTTGAACCCGGTGCGCCCGGCGCGCGAGACGCCGAGGACCGTGCCGGCCGCCGCGGCGGCCTCCGGAGACGCGGCAGGGCGGTCGGCCTTGGCGACGTGGCGGATGTCGCACGCCGCGAGGGGCGCGTCGGAGGTGACCCGGACGATGGGGCGGCCCTTGAGCACGGCCTCGACGGCGGCCTGGCAGGCCTCCCACTGGCCGGACCAGAGCAGGCCGACGGAGCCGTAGACGGGGTTGACCATGCGGCCGCACGCCTCGTAGAGCAGCGAGCGGAAGAGCGCCGGGCGGAGGCCGGGGCCGTCGGCGGCGAGGAGGTTGAGCAGCCCGGCGCGGCCGTAGAACTTGGCGAGGAAGACGGTGGCGTTGGCCTGCGCGTCGGCGCTCCGGATCCACTCCAGGCAGGGGCGGATGGTGCAGCCCTCGCCGCACCCCTTGCGGAGCACCCGGCACCCATTGCAGCTCATCCGCATCCTCCTCTTCCTCCCTTCCGATCGCCGGAGTTGTTGGAGATCGATCGATCGTGGTGCTGTGGACTGTGGCTCTCTCTAGCCTCTTCTTGCGTCTTTGGAATATTTTTGCTGGTGTGTGATGGTGGTGAATTTGGTTGTGGTGATGGGTTTTATAGGTGGGGTGGGCGCCAACGGTTTTGGGAGGGCGGGTTCGGCGCCGCTGCCAAAACAACGGGAGATGCCCACTAAACAATGGGAGAGATGTCCACTGCACGGCTACCCCGGTATCACGGAGCCGCGTCGCACACGAATGTTCGAAAAGGGGAATGGATTTTTCAACGGCTTGCAGTGAAACTGGAGGCGGCCACTTTCGGTGGACTTTGCGAGGTACCACGGTTTGGTTGGAGTGATAGACATGATGGCATGGCATGACATCCCCCGTTGGAGAAACAAGTTGCACGTCCCCTGGTTTTACCAATGGATGGCATCGTCATCTTTTGCCATACCTCATGTTATTCCAAGGAGTGCACGCACCCTACTAGCCACTCCGTCCAAGTCCAACTCGTATACCGCATGTTATTCCACATTCAAACTTTTCAGCTCCAAAAAATTCTTTAAAAAAATGTGTGCAAAATTTCAGGATAAAATACCTTGAATTTCAGAGTTGCAAAAAAAAAGAGTAGATTTTGAGGATGAACATTACATATCGTAAAGAGCCGCAGATTTGCTTTTTTTTGGTAGCTCTCATGTTAACTGTTTCGACCTAAAAACCTTCCACACGTACACCATGTTTCTAGGTATATGTGTATTTTCTTTCAGAATTTTTTGATACTGAGTAGTTTGAACTTTTTTAGTTTCCAGATTAAGGCATTCATGGAGGTCGGTCCATATTTGGTATTTTCATATAATAAGCACATACATAGAGGGCAATGTTGCGGATAGGGGATGATATAGCGGGCTGACAACCGGAAACTGCCATTGGTGACCGAGCTCACTGGAGGCCTCCAGATTCAAAATTCAAATTTCATTCTTTTTCCATTTTGAAAAATTCTGAAAAAAAATACAGATATACATGAAGGCATAACACACATGTGTGTAAATTTTCAGGCCAAAATACGTTGAAATGAGGACCGTGCAAAAAAGACAAATCTGAGGCTGTTTAATACATGATACTATTCATCCTCTCAGGCCATAAATTTGTCTTTTTTGTACAGGTCATATTTGAACGTATTTCATCACGAATTTTTACACACATGTGGGTTACATCCTTACATACACGCATATTTTTTCAGAATTTTTTGAAACACAAAAGTTTGAATTTGAATATTTCAAAAATAAAGACCTCCAAAACGCCATTCTCCCTGACAACTGATATTACACCCACATCATTACAAACACACTATTTTTGAACCAATCTGTGGTCCGATGCTTGGTAGGACAGTGGTATCCGAGCCCATCAGGGTTCAAGTCCTAGACTCATTGGTGCTCGCATTTCTCTGGTTTTATTTCAGGCTTCCGGCGGTGTACGTTGAATGGGAGGAGACGTTCCCGTCGTCTGCGAGACGCTTATGGTGACTTTGTAAAATCTCAAGATGTTATGCCGGCCTAGTCTCTTGAAAGTGCTCACAGGGATAAGTATATGCTCGTGTACGTGAGCGACTTCAATTGTACTATGTTTAAAAAGCCATGCAAATTATTTTCTAGCACAACCTGAGACGCTACCGCTATTGCGGCTGCCATTTAAAAGTTTTCTTCAAAGCGCACCTGGTTTTGGCATACCCATACTTTTTATTTTTGTCAAGTGGGCTTGTCCCTTCCCAGTAATTGATCGCAACTATAATTGCTTACAACTCACGGAGCACCAAGATGAGACAGAAAGAAAAAAGGCAACTGATCAGCGCCGGTGCGCCGGCCGAACGATTCGGCCGGTCCAATGCCCAACGTCCGATCGCTTCGCCCGGGCCGTTAGATCGCCCCCTTCCTCGCGCGCACGAGCGGCAACGACTCCCTCCATCCCCGCGGTGCTAATCTCGCTCGCGCACGCCTCCCCATCTCGCCCCTGGCGCTAATCTCGCTCGCGCACGCCTCCCCATCTCGCCCCGTGGCGCTAATCTCGCTCGCGCAGGCGCAGGTAGTTGACTGCTTCTTCTTCCTCCCGACGCCTTCTAGGACGTCTTCCAGGATCACTAAAAAGCTTCATCTGGCAACAAAAAATGCTTCATCCGACGATGAAAAAAGCTTCATCTGGATAACATGGATGTAGCTTCGTGCATGTATGGTTGTAACATTTACTTCTGCCGGTTGCAGCTTGCTAGTCGTAGGTTGAAGCTGCCTGCCATCACCGGCCACAAGTTCGCCGTCGTTCGATGCAAACATGTCAGTTCACCCCGCTGAAACATTTTTGTAGCCTCTCATAGCTTTTCCGAAGCACGGTTGTAGCTTCCTAATCTCCAACTGCATCCATTTGTCGTCGCCGGCCACAAAACTGCACAGCCACCGATTGTAGCAAATATCGACGCTGGTTGTAGCAAAAATGCGATGCAGTTGTAGCAAAAATCAGTTGTGGTTCCAGCTCGCTTGTTGGTTGAAGCAAAAACCAACAATGGTTCCAGCTTTTGCGTTGGTCGATTGTATCAAAAAAAGGGCTGGTTCCAGCTTCGCTGTCTGCTCCTCGGTGATGCAACCATAGGACTAGGAGGAGGGCAGTTCCAGCAGAGGAGGATGGTGGCGCTCGCCGGAGCAGTGCCGACGGAGCCAGCCTAGGAAATCTTGGGGTGGTTGCTGGCTATGGCGACGACGACGCAAGCAGCCTCGCCGGTCTAGCTTGGTTGCTGGCCATGGCACGAAGGAGAGGAAAGAAGCGATGCAGGTGGACGAGCTCTCGAAGGGATAAGATTTCTGTGGACTAGCAGTGCTGGGATAAAGACGTGCGTGGGACCCATGTCCACGTCACGCGCGTGCAGCGGACCGGCGCAAAAGTTCCGCCGGCACACCGATTGTAAACGTTTCCCAAGAGAAAAACGAGTTATGGCACTAGTAGGAAATCTGCTGCGATGCATTCGCTGTCAAACGCATCCTACGGGGCGAAAACCTACTATCCCCGTGCATATCCACTAAAAGACCGGCAAAATCAAACCAACATTAGCAACAAGCCAACAAAGCAGAAGAGCAGCTCCAGAAACACAGAGCTACAGACCGGAAATACAGCACTTTACCGAGATACAGTATGCTGCCAAAACAAGGGGTAGCCGACGGACTTGCGCGCCGGGGGTGCAACCAGTCATCTACTCCAGCATATCATCTGGGACTAGACAGCTGCACAGCTGAAAGTAGAGTATCAGCCGGCTTGAAAGCACTCGGATGGAGCCGGTCCACAACATGCGAGGACGTCGGCGGCTGTGGCACATCACAGACGCCTTCAAGCATCTGGACAACTCTCGACCCCTTGGAAGCCTCCGGGAGAAATCCTGCTGAACGCACCACAGAGCAACCCTGATAGCTATCTCCACCCGGCCATCTCCATCGTCGTACGCCAACTTGGCATCGACGATATTGCGAAGATCGCCTTCCTCCAGCTTCTTGAAAGCGAAGGGTGGGAAATGGGCCTTCTCCGAGGCTTCCAAGGGGTCGAAGCTCCTCCTTCCGCTGATTATCTCAAGCAGGACTATCCCGTAGCTGTACACGTCGCTCTTATCTGAGATGGCGTAGTTAGTGATCCACTCGGGCGCAACATAGTCCCGTGTGCCTCTGAGCCTGGTGAAAACATGGCTTTGCTCCCTGCTCATCAGCTTGGCAAGCCCAAAGTCAGCTACCTTTGCATGGAAGTTGTCATCAAGTAGAACGTTCTCAGGCTTGATGTCACAATGTATAATCTTGGACTCGCAGTCCTGATGGAGGTACGCCAGCCCCTTTGCTGTTCCAAGTGCAATGTGAAACCTTGTATCCCAGTCTAGAAGGGGACCATCCACTGTACTACTGAAAATCCACCTGTTTAGAGACCCCTTGGCCATGTACTCGTACGCAAGAAGCCTTTGTGCCCCCTCGACACAAAAGCCTCGGAGTTTAACTAGATGGACATGGTGGATGTTGCCAATTGTAGTCATCTCAGAGCGGAATTCTTTCTCCCCTTGGCCTAGGCCCTCCGGCTTCTTTACAGCAATGCTACTCCCATCTGGGAGTGTTCCGAGATACACGGATCCAAATCCTCCCTGACCAAGCTTGTCAGCGAAGTTGTTTGTAGCACCTCGGAGCTCCGTGTAAGTAAACCGCATTGGTGCTCCAGATATCGTCTGTAGAAACCCATCGTCTTGTTCTTGTGAGGGTGAAGGTTGCCTCCAACGATGACGATAAATGCTGAAGCCAACATAAACAAGGACCCCTATGACAACCAACAGTACGACCACAATGACAACAGTAATGACGGTGTGCCTCCCACCGCCACTCCCAACTTTAGATACCTTGATGAAAGATACAGAAGCAGGTTCCCTTCTATCTTTCTCGCGCAAACTACCGATCTGGTTGAAAAGGAAGCAATTGCCTGAAGTTTGCTCAAAGAACATGGCAATGCACGAGCAATTGCTCATGCATGCGTCCTTGCATCCTGTGATGTTTGTTCTAGCCAAGGGCGGGGTGAACCTAGTGCCAATATACCCAACTCCACTATCGACTTGAGCTAGCTGAAAGTCCTCTTTTGAGTTACATGGTGATATGAGACCGGGGTTGCAGTTTGGAAAGGTGCCAAGTGCTGACGGGCACTGGCATCCTGCTCCACTAATGCAAACGGAATAGGGGCTGCACTCGGCTGGCATGTCACATGAGTCCTCCGGGATTGGGGTTGGGAGAGCAGTCGTGTTTGTGTCATAGGTAGTCTGTAGGATGTAGAAGGAAAGGGATCCATCCTCGCCGAGGACAGCAATCAACGTGTCATTGGCATCACCCTGCTGCGCAATGACAAGCTCTGATAGAAGAGACCCTGATTTATCATAGAAGCACCACGAAGCTGAACTGAGGTTTGAAGAGTAAATGGCTCCATCCATGTTCACGATCAACCTTGTATCCTGCAGCGCAGACCAGTAAGGTTGGGGGTTCTGGAAGCCTGCGTACAACCTCATGTCCCCTGATGTGATCCCAAGTGTATAACTAATGTTGTGTGTGCTGGACTGCCTCACAAGTGTCATCCCATCAGTGAAGCTCTGGCCAGACACAAGTGTGTTCGCTGGATAGCTGAAACTCTGCCATACAAGAGAAGAGCCGTCTTTGCCGAGCACTATAAGATTGCCAGAGTCCAGCAGCCGAATAGAGGCGCCCTTGCCGGAGAGATTGGCAGTCCAGATGGTGGAGCCTTGAGACCACAGGTAGGCATTACCATCCTTGTCGAACACAAAGGTATCCATACTAGAAACAGGAGAGTTAGCATTGGCAGTCCAGATGACAGTATAGGAGGGTAGGTGCACCACTGAGAGAAGATAGGAGGAGTTGCTCGCTGATGCACTACTGGACACAAAGCCCAAGCCATATACAGTGCCATTGGACACCAGAAAAATTGCATTATTATGGATGTAATCATTTTCGGAGGCACTGAACCCTGGCAGGAGAACTTGTTTCTGAACACTGCCGCTGCATATTATCCAGAGGTTGGCTATCACAAGCATCCGCAGCAAAACGAAGCCTGTTGAACAACTTATTCATATTAGATGCAGGCATGCAGTAACACAAACATCTAGCACTCCACCAAGGTTATTTCCAGATTGATGCATGTTTGAACTGCATAACTTAGCACTGGAAAGTTCATAGTAATACCTCTCATTAGAGCATGTTGTTGTCTAGCAGCCGCAACATCCCCTGAGGCGATGAGAAGGGAGGCCACCATGATGCACATCTGGAACATGGTTTTGGACGCAATGTTCATGAGAGAATATTGCTGTTCATACATGTGGTGATGGGGAGGAGCAAGGCTAGGCTTGAGATATCGTATGTATGGAGTGGCAATCCTCTGCCACATGTTACCGGTCATGCATCTGGTTTCTGGAGTCGGTCAATGGGAGCTGGCAGCTCTTTTTGGAAATTTGTACCAAGTCGTAATCAAGCTAGCCTGCCCCTACAGACCATGGTGACTCAAATACATTCAAAGAATGGTCCCTATCTTGACTCAGGTTATGTGGCATAGATGGCATGTGGACCCACTGTGAAAGAAAAAGGAATAAAAATGGAGATGAGATGGGGAAAAATAAAAAATAAAAGTCACATTTTGCTGAGATGTGCCCTTATCAGAAATTCAGTTGGACACCCGAGCACGCATGCTGCTGGTATCTGCACCAACCAGTTCCACGGAACTGACACTGTATTCCGTTCTGTATTATCAGTTTCCTTGTGCATTTTCATATGACCATGGCCCACGGTTGGCACATGCCCATTAATTGTTGGGGATGTCCTTATGGCATGCCATGGATGACAATCAGAGTGCTTCGATACAATGGACGTACATTTTTTTTTATAAATGAGAGTTTGTTAATTATGAGTGCCCAGTCACTATTAGAATTCAGATTTCCTAGAGTGCGATCATTTTCTAGATGAATGGCTTTGCAGCACAACTTTAAATGCCAAATCAGTCAAGATCGATACAAGGTGTTGATAAAATCCTAATTACAAAAACATATCCTCAACGCTGCTGCAGATCAAAAATTTCACCCGGAGCCTGAAGGGGTCAAGGGGTGGAGCCAAACCGAGGGGGGAGCGATACCCATTGGTGTAGTCAGCGGTCACGTACACCAGGTTGAGCTTTAGCTCGGCTCATGACTATCTTACAATGAACATTCACTAGCCCATGGGCCCTAGCTAGCTGTGAGGAAGATGGTTTGTCATGACCGGGTTGAAGCCTCTACTAAATCTGGATCAAAGAGAGGAAGACGTTGCTGGAGGACCCCCATGCCAACCAGGTGTCTAGCCAAACACCGTCAGCGTATGGACAGCTGGTGAAAGATTTTTCATTTTCTTTTTGAGCTAGGATGAAAGTTCATCTTGGCTCCAAATAAAAAGGTAACATGAAAAGGAGGCGAGTTAATGAAGACTTTTATTCATATAGGTTTTGGTCATAGTGGCCACTTTGAGTATAGACAAGTCATACCTGAAGCCATCAGGCCCCACGTGTCCTTGCAGAGCATGCCACGGCCTGCCCTCCCCTCCTGCGCGCAAGTTCCCGCAAGGCGCTCCCCTGCCCGGCTGGATCCCCCTCGCTTAGCACCGAGGCCACCGGAGCACGATCAGCCTAATTTTCTTGACACATCAATCGCTCAAGTGATTAAGAGCTAGCATCAGATTCGTGGACATCTAGCACAGAGTAGCAGCATAAGTGAAAATCAAGAACTAGTTTGGCTGGTGACAAACCTGTGTCTTCTGCATAGCAGATCCATTGGTTGCTGCAGTAGAAAACCAACACGATAAAAACTGTGTGCCGCTGAGGTGTGATGTTGGGTCATATACCAGAACCTACACACATGTACAATAGACAAAAGATCCAAGAACTGCAAACTAAATGACAGCAAACTTTGTATTTCTTGAACAAAAAAAATATCTTATAAGAGATGTCACATGACAACAGCATGTTCATTACACTATCTGTAATACACTCATAGAGTATTACAAATAGCCTGATTTTGAAAACGAAAGCCCTCAATTTTCATTAACCAGTCCAGCAAACAAAATTAGCTATTATCTTTAATGTTCCATCACCTAAAGATATACAGACGCTATTTGTCATATGCCTTATAGAATCCTACTGCCAACCTTAAACACAGTCATGCAGCCCCATATCACCTACAGGTGTGCGCACATTTAAGTAGAGAACAAGACTTATAACATGCCAGGAAATACAGACTTATAACATGCCAAAAGCAAAGAGGGCAGGCTATAATTAGGTCAAGCAGAATGTAGGAAGTTAACTGTTGACTGAAATGAGGCCTTCCGTTTCACAATATGAAAAGAATGAGATCAAGAAAACTTAAAAGCACTGAACATCAGCAAGATTTGAATCAATAAATGAATTCAGAGTCAGTTTGATAGATGACACTGAACAATGCTATAGACATGTGAATGACATTATAATGGTTCAGTGCATTAAAAATGTTATCATACATTATGTCATCATCAGCACTGGAAAAAGATTACCATTTACTGGTTCCTGCTCAGTTCATTAGTGCTTCACAGAAGAACAAATCCATGCAGTAACAGGCAAGCAGAAATCCAGTGATCCATTTTGCATTGAAAAGGTCCTAGGAGCAGCATATACACTCATAGAGTAGTTATGTTTGCAATAATCTTGTCTGGACTCCAAGGGATGCGGCATTTGGTTTTGATCTGCATCGTAGGTTGGCCTCATCCACTTGCACACAAGCAGAAAATAACATGTATCCAACTAGAATCTCAGATTGTTCGCCTTACAAGGCGAGAAAAGAAAAATGGATTCTCTTGTAATTCCTCCCCTCACTCGCAGGGCAGGTTTCATGTTCTCGGGAGTTAGGGAGGTCTTAATTTCTCCTCACATGTCCTTTTATTTTCAGCAGCCTTGTGGTGGTTCGCTGTTGGCTAGCCTACTTTTACAATTGCCTTTGCAAAGGTACAATAAGTGCAATATGTAGAGTATACTCCATCCGTCCCATAATATAAGACTTTATTACATCCAATAGCCACCTTCTCCTTCTTTACCTTCGCCTATCCTTCAGCCCCCTTTAGCTTTTCACCCATCAAACACAAAACATCTAACTGCAAGATCAGGTATTACGGGAACTATGTCTTTACTTTGATGACTCTTCTCACCAACATCATAAACGTATCCGCAGAGGGGATTAGCTTCTCGCTCTGTGCAGTCATCCTGTCATATAACCGAAGTGCGCTCTTAGTGTTGCCCTTCTCACAGTAACTGCTGATCAGCATATCGCCTATGTCACTAGTCGGAGCCAGCGATTTCCTTTCCATCACGGACACAAATTTCTCAGCTTCCTTTGGATTCCCACACCGGCACAGGCCACTGATCAGGGAGGTAAAAACTTCAATGCCATGGTTAAGTCCCCTGTGCTCCATCTCATAATAAATCTTGACAACACCTTCCGCATCACCAACCTTGCCGTACCCATCAATGAGCTTACGGTATGTATCCTGACCAGGAATAGTTCCTTTGTCGATCATTGCCGTCACCAACTCGTTCGCCTTGCCGACCTGTCCAGCACCACACATCGCCTCTAAGATCTCATTGCAAGTCCCAATGTCCGGCACAAGGCCTTCATGGAGCATCTTGTCAAAGTACTCCGACCCCTCATCTGTCCTCTCATGTCTAAAACACCCGGTGACTAGGTGACTGTATGTAGCATCATACGGCTTCAACCCCCTGGACAGCATTTCTTGCAGCAACCGCATGGCCTCACTGACATTGCCTTCACGGCAATGTACTCCGATGAGGCAAGTATACACAAATGGGTTCAGGCGACAGCCTCGTCGGACCATGTCGTCCCACTGCTCTTGTGCCGACTCCAGATCACCAGTACGACAGTGGGCATGCACCATCAGCGAGTAAGCAACGCCATCGAACACCATGTTCCTCTGCAGCATCCTCCTGAGGAGCAAGATCCCTTCCTCTGTCCTCCCCTCCTCGAAGATCCACAGCGCTAGCGCGACGTGCGCCACGACGCCCGGCGCGCACTTCTTGCCGTGGATCCTCTCCACGAGGGCCGCCATCCTGGCAAGTGCGCCCTCCCGGCTCAGCACGCCGACGACAAGCTCGATGGTGGCCTGGCTGGCGTACACCCGCTTGAGCGTCATTAGCTCGAACACCTCCCAGGCGACCCGGAACCGGCCGGTGCGCTGCGCCGCGTGCAGCACGGCGTTGAAGGCGGAGAGGGAGGGGAGCACGCGGCGGAGCGCCAGGTACCGGCAGGCCTCGAGGGCCTCCTCCGGGAGGCGGAGCTGCGCGTAGGCGTGCACCAGGAGGTGGAGGCCGCGGGTGGTCGCGGCGGTGCCGCTGTCCTCGTAGGCCGCGAAGAAGGCGTCCAGGAAGTGCGAAGCGGGCGAGGAGGAGTGCCTGGTGATGGCGGACTGGAGGAGGACGGAGGCGTGGCTGATGAGGGCCGCGCGGGCGAGGAGGTGGACGAGGAGGCAGTAGGAGCGGAGCGAGTGGGGGGACGGCGACGAGGCGGCGGCGGACCAGTGGAAGAAGCTGTGCGCGTTCTTGGCGATGGTCTCGGCGGAGGAGGGGCTGGGGTTCCTGGCGAGGGAGAGGAGCACGGCGTCGACGTGCCCCTCGGGCGCCGCGGCGGCGGGGAACGAGGCGGAGAGCGCCTCCCAGGTCACCCTCGGGCTGCTCGCGAGGTAGTGGGAGACCTGCTGGGGCGTCGTTGCGGCGGCCGCGGGCACGGCGGACGCGGCACCGCGGCAGGGGAACGGGGCGCCGCCGCGCCGCGCGAGCATGCGGCCGCCGGACTTGGCTGCGTTCATGTGGCCATCGATTCAAACACCACCGAGGTAGACGGACCTCGTCGGTGACGAAGCGGCACCTATTGGGGCTCGGAAGATCTCGTCCACCGTCCGATCAAGTAAATGGACGACGCAGATGACAAACGTCAAACAGTATGCTATAAACATAAAATCCACAGTATCAAATAAGCTCACAGTATAAGTAGTTTCAGTTAACTTTACATTCAGAGTCCAATTCAAAAGGCAACAATAAAATTTATTATTTATTTCGTGTTCGTAATTAATGTTTATGTTCAATGATATAACTGCAGTGGTTCTCGAGTCTGCAATAACCACGAGGCTCAGAGAAAACTCATATGCACATATGAAATAATAAACGGTAAATAGATTTCTAGTCTCGCCTCTAAAGCTAGCTCAAATGTTGAATGATGCTTTCATTTTTCTGAATCATGGGCATAAGTTAAATGTAACGAGGATGCCGGCAACTTTGATGGCATATTGTTAAAAAATCACTTGTGTTGAAGTGACCAAAATTGTGTGTCATGCTAAGTCTTTCATCATAAGTTTATAGTTTATAGCAAAGAAAAGTTAACATTTGCATAATTTCTTAGACCATTAGAGTATTGATACATTCACACCGAATGATGTACTTTGAGGTCATTAAACATCACATAGGGTGGTCATAACGGCAACTTACAAGTGCATCAAAAAAGTACTCCCTCCATCCCGAAATAAGTGTCTTTACCTTAGTACAACTTTGTACTAGAGTTAGTACAAAGTTGAGACAGTTATTTTCGGATGGAGGGAGTATGACAAAATACTTGATACCTCAAGACTAAGATTTGCTCCGCCAACATTGAAGAGATATTCTTAGGGCCCTCTTAATGTGACGGTATTCAAGAGATATTCTTAGGGCCCTCTTAATGTGACGGTATTCATCATCGTACAGACATAGTGTGACTTGCTCATGACGATGCCAGAACACGAGAACGATAAAGAAAAAAGAACAAAACTGATAACGAGAAAATTCACACAGTGATCATGTTGTTGATTCACGGGAATGCCAATATATCTCACCTTGGATTTTCTAAAGTATCACGAAGCAAAAGTAAATCACACATGGTAACTTTAGGAAAGGGGTTGCATGTCCATCAGGCACCTCAATTTATTTTTGGCTGGATCAGGAATAAGCGGCCAAATCTTCTTCTTACTCCTCCAACCATTTTGTATTCACCATCTTCATCTTCAGCCTAACCACCTGCCACTACAGGAATCAGGCACTTTGCCGTCCGTCGTGGCTGATGGCGAAGGCATGCCTGGCGGACAACAAAGGCCTTAATTTGTCGTCCGTCAGCAGACGGCAAACAGGTCCGGCTGAATAGGTTACGGCGAAGGGCTCTTTGCCGTCTGCTGGCAGACGGCAAAGATGATATGGTCTTTGCCGTCTGCCAGCCCACAGCAAAGGACTTGGACGACACACGTGGCAGCTTATGGCCGTTAGGGGTTAACGGTGCGCTTTGCCGTCAGCTGGCGGACGTCAAAGACCATTTCATCTTTGCCGCCAGCCAGTGGACGACAAAGTAACCAAATAGGCCAGCCCCCCAGGTTGCACAGGTAGCTGCCACGTGGCAGCTTTGCCGTCTACTGGTTGATGGCAAATCTCTTTGTCGTCTGCCAGTGGACGACAAAGAGCCTGTATAGCCCCTGTTTTTTTTAGATTCATTCAGTTTCAACACACAAGTTTGAACACACAAATTTCACAGCTGACATATCCAACACACAAGTTTCATCGTATATACATACATAACCAACACATAGTTCCATCCATACATATTACAATAGTTTCACATTGTTCATCCAACACCTATCCATCCATATAACAAGTTCCACATTGTTAATCGATACAAAATAAAAGCAGAAAGGGAAAAGAAGCACTCCATCCATGCAAGCTTCCGTGAAGTAAATGAAATCTGCAAAATGGGAAACAAGAAAGTTAGAAGAAGAATACTAGAAGAAGAAGAAGAAGACTAGAAGAAGAAGTAAGCATACTTGGGTAAAATGGAGATAACCTAGCTAATTATGCCATTTTGAGTGAACTAAGCATATTATGCCATTTTTTATATAAAGCAGCTAAGTATAGGTCTTTATTGAGCTAACCTAGGTAACTAAGCATATTAGAGCTAACTTAGGTCATTTTGGAGAAGAAGAAGAAGAAGAAGAAGGTTTTGAAGGAAATATGCCCTAGAGGCAATAATAAAGTTATTATTTATTTCCTATTTCATGATAAATGTTTATTATTCATGCTAGAATTGTATTAACCGGAAACTTAGTACATGTGTGAATACATAGACAAAACATAGTGTCCCTAGTATGCCTCTACTTGACTAGCTCGTTAATCAAAGATGGGTAAGTTTCCTAACCATAGACATGTGTTGTCATTTGATGAACGGGATCACATCATTAGGAGAATGATGTGATGGACATGACCCATCCGTTAGCTTAGCATTATGATTGTTACAGTTTCATTGCTACTGCTTTCTTCATGACTTATACATGTTCCTCAGACTATGAGATTATGCAACTCCCGGATACCGGAGGAACACTTTGTGTGCTATCAAACGTCATAACGTAAATGGGTGATTATAAAGATGCTCTATAGGTGTCTCCGTAGGTGTTTGTTGGGTTGGCATAGATCAAGATTACGATTTGTCACTCCATGTTTCGGAGAGGTATCTCTGGGCCCTCTCGGTAATGCTCATCACTATAAGCCTTGCAAGCATTGTGACTAATGAGTTAGTTGCGGGATGAGCTCAATGTGACTAAGTAGTTAGTCACGGGATCATGCATTACAGAATGAGTAAAGAGACTTGCCGGTAACGAGATTGAACTAGGTATGATGATACCAACGATCGAATCTCGGGCAACTAACATACAGATGACAAAGGGAACAACGTATGTTGTTATGCGGTTTGACCAATAAAGATCTTCGTAGAATATGTAGGAGCCAATATGAGCATCCAGGTTTCGCTATTGGTTATTGACCGGAGATGTGTCTCGGTCATGTCTACATAGTTCTCGAACCCGTAGGGTCCGCACGCTTAACGTTCGATGATGACTTGTATTATGAGTTATGTTTTTTGATGACCGAAGTTTGTTCGGAGTTCTGGATGAGATCACAGACATGACGAGGAGTCTTGAAATGACCGAGACGTAAAGATTGATATATTGGACGACTTTATTCGGACACCAGAAGTGTTCTGGAGAAGTTCCGGATAAAACTGGAGTGTTGGAGGGTTACCGGACCCCCCGGGGGAACTAATGGGCCACATGGGCCTTAGTGGAGAGAGAGAGGGGCAGCCAGGGCAGGCCGTGCCCCCTCCCCCTTGGGTCCGAATTGGACTAGGGAAGGGGGGCGACGCCCCACTTTCCTTTTTCCTCTCCCTCTCCTTCCTTCCCCCTCTCTCCCTCTTGGTGGAATCCTACTAGGACTAGTAGTCCTAGTAGGACTCCCCTTGTGGGGCGCACCCTGGAGGGCTAGCTGGCTCCCCCTTGCTCCTTTATATATGGGGCAGGGGGCACCCTAGAACACACAAGTTGATCTTTTAGCCGTGTGTGGTGCCCCCTCCACAGTTACACACCTCGGGCGTATCGTCGTAGTGCTTAGGTGAAGCCCTGCGCCGGCAACTTCATCATCACCGCCGCCATGCCGTCGTGCTGACGAAACTCTCCCTCGTCCTCAACTGGATCAAGAGTACGAGGGACGTCATCGAGCTGAACGTGTGCTGAACGCGGAGGTGCCGTACGTTCGGTACTTGGATCGGTTGGATCGCGAAGACGTTTGACTACATCAACCGCGTTAACTAATGCTTCCACTTTTGGTCTACAAGGGTACGTGGACACACTCTCCCCTCTCGTTGCTATGCATCACATAGATAGATCTTGCGTGATCGTATGATTTTTTTTGAAATTACCACGTTCCCCAATAGTGGCATCCAAGCCAGGTCTACGCGTAGATGTTATATGCATGAGTAGAACACAAAGAGTTGTGGGCGATAATAGTCATCCTGCTTACCACCAACGTCTTACTTTGATTCGGCGGTATTGTTGGATGAAGCGGCCCGGACCGACATTACATGACCGCGTTCATGAGACTGGTTCTACCGACGTGCTTTTGCACAAAGGTGGCTGGCGGGTGTCTGTTTCTCCAACTTTAGTTGACTCGAGTTTGACTACGGTCGGTCCTTGTTGAAGGTTAAAACAACACACTTGACGAAAAATCATTGTGGTTTTGATGCGTAGGTAAGAATGGTTCTTTGCAGAAGCCCGTAGCAGCCACGTAAAACTTGCAACAACAAAGTAGAGGATGTCTAACTTGTTTTTGCAGGGCTTGCTGTGATGTGATATGGTCAAGGCATGATGTGATATAAATTGTTGTATGAGATGATCATGTTTTGTAACAAAGTTATCGGCAACTGGCAGGAGCCATATGGTTGTCACTTTATTGTATGCAATGCAATCGCCATGTAATTGTTTTACTTTATCAGTAAGTGGTAGCGATAGTCGTAGTAACAATAGTTGGCGAGACGACAACGATGTTATGATGGAGATCAAGGTGTCACGCCGGTAACAATGGAGATCATGATGATGCTTCGGTGATGGATCATGAGCACAAGATGATGATGGCCATATCATGTCACATATTTTGATTGCATGTGATGTTTATCTTTTATGCATCTTATTTTTCTTAGTACGACGATAGCATTATAAGACAATTCCTTACTAAATTTCAAGGTACAAGTGTTCTCCCTGAGTATGCACTGTTGCTATAGTTCGTTGTGCTGAGACACCACGCGATGATCGGGTGTGATAAGCTCTACATTCACATACAACGGGTGCAAGCCAGTTTTGCACACGCAGAATACTCGGGTTAAACTTGACAAGCCTAGCATATGCAGATATGGCCTCGGAACACCGAGACCGAAAGGTTGAACATGAATCATATAGTAGATATGATCAACATA